ATTAACCTTTTGAGCGCCAATGTCACATATACGCGACAAGCGAAAACTGTCCCTGGACGTCAACGACACAAATACATGACAGAAAAAGCGGAACCAGAAACACGAATTATTGGAATCCCTATTGTTGATACAATAGGGATTCCAATAATTCCTATTTCTTTCGTAGAAATTTGCGTGGAATTTGTGGCTTGGTGTCGAAAGCAGGTTCATGTGTTTTTGCTCTGGCGTTCAAAAGGTTAATCGTCTGTTTTGGTTTGCTGAATTGCTATGTATGTGCCTCTAGATTCTTTATTGAAACACTTATTTTATTTTACTATTGTGCCTACACAAAGTCTACCTAATAAGCTTACAATGTTAAGTTTGTCATCAATCTTTCTATCCTCAAAACCAAATAGGAAAATGTGTCAAGATAATTTACTACGAGTCAGTTGTATAAACAATGTATAACAAGTTTAGGACAGAATGAGGACACACCGGCCAATCTACCAACTTCTCGTTACATCACTTACGACAAATAATAATATATCAAGTTGTTCACAGATATTATTAATCAAACAATAGGCATTCCGTGAAACAGTGTGTCGGCAAGATGGTCGATAAGGGTCCGGCACTCCGGTAGCGCAGCGGCGCAAACGACTCCCGGTGCGCCCGCGCCGCATTGATTCAGACGCAACGAGTATTTCATGTTTATAGTTGAATGGTTCAGAATAATTGAAGAAGTTATTTATAAGTTTCCTCTTTAGAAGCGAATCGTGTGCGCGATCGGAGCCGGATGCCGCCACCCTTCGGAGGGCATGCCTTCACAAAGGCATTTAGTCTATTTAAAGACATCCTGCTTAGTGCGGGGGCCCAAGTCCGCTCTCGCACGTGCGTCAAGTGTCCTGCGCCCGCCGACCTGTCAATTACTGTCACCCTCACCTATCTGTGTGCTCGCTCCGTCTGTCTCCACTGATAAACCGACCGAGTCCATCATTTTGAATAGCGTCGCTTAGCACAAACTGCCAATCCACAGGTTTTCACTCAAAACATTTGATCATTCAGGATACTAGATTAGATCGTTCGAGACTTATTCTAATAAGTAAAGGTCATATTATCGTATTTACAAGTTACTATAATAGTGGATTTGAGCAAACAAATCTTCAGGAAATTGACTTGATAGGTATCCTGTTTCGCTCAATCAAACACAATATTGCTCAACGACGGCTAAATTTATCGAAGGACTATATCTGACAATATAATGGAGTTGGAAACAATACTGAGCGATTATAAAGAGCAGTGGAGCGAAGATTATGGCGTTTGCATGAGACAAGCGCAGGCGCGGCCGCCGGCCGACCGCGGCGGCTAATGGCTCGAAGCCACTTGTGGCGACGACCACCTTCATCAATAACATACACCCTGAATGTCTCAAACTACGGATATTGATAAAAAATCTGTATTTTTCTACGTCTAATAACAATCAATGCAATAAAAACTGTTTTTAAGCTTAATGCTAAGTTGAGCGTAGGCCAGACCTTTCAATTTCAATCAAATTAATACAATACCTGAACAGGTTTATTGTTTAATAATAAGCGCCATAAACCACGTCTAAATGTGATTATCGGTGTCCCGTTAAACCTCAGCCTCTAATTCTGAATGTACTCGCTGAAGTGGTAAACATGTAAATCATAACTCATAAACATGAAGTAGAAAAGCTTTGGGATATTATACGTTATGTTGTGACTAACAAGCGCACGTACCATAAAATTTAAATATCATTGTAAGGAAATCGTACACCGGCTGGTATCGCGAACAAGATCGGCCTGCTCGTACATACATCTATCTGTTTATTGTTTATTTTATTGGCGATGTCTCTCTGATCTAACAGGACATCAATACGTATCGTAAAATCGGCAAATGTTATAAATCATCATCATGGGCCAGTCACTGAGCTTCGTAAAATACGATATTGTAACATAAGTACATTGCTTGTAAGTACCTCAGCGATTTGAGCGATTCATTGTAACTTCGTTTTAATACTTTTTACCCTGATAGACAGTATAGTCTTATTAATAAAGCGTTATCACTTATATGTATTTATAGGTAGGTACATATATTATGTAATCTTGTACCAGTTGATGTTACATAATTACACTTGTATTGTTTTGTTTAGGTTTCAGAAATACTATTGTTCGTAAACATCAGTGAATGTACGTGTTTAAAACAAAACAGTTGTAACTATATGGTTTATTTAGGTAATTCAAATAATGTTTAATTGGAGTGAAGAAAAAACCAGAGGTTTTCTGTTTTGTACCAGTACCACCAAAACATTTTAACAATGCTAGGCACTGTCTATTCTTCAGGGGTTAGACTCAGTTTTGAGATAAACTCAAGTCCTTTTTTTTGGAATTGAACTTAAACGTATTGCATTTGTAATCAAAGAATTCATAGCAGAATATAATAATGATTACCTGAAATGACGTTCGAAACTAAACTGTTCCATTTCAGTAATCAGAATTAAACGTAAGGCGTGAAATTAATTCATTAGCCTAAATTCATTTCAAGAAAGTTATTTTGTTTTATAATACATGTTGCGAAATTCGTTTGTATTGGATTTTGGGGGATTGTGGAGCCGTGTTGAATTGTGTAGGAGGTCGTCACCTGCGCGAACGTTTCCCGAAGAGCGAGTCACATAAGGCACCTCCCATATCCCACGTGAGCGTCGCACCGCACCGGTGACAACCCTCCTTTACATGAAACAGTACGTTGACCCTGCCGGCGCAGCTTGCTCCCCTCATGAAATTCAAAAATATCGAAACCATATGTTCTTGACCTTTCTCTTACTTTTACCGGGCTTAGTGAAAATAACGATCTCTTCCGATCTGTATCACATGGCAACTTTGTTTACTAAAAATACTGATATGTCGAATTCAACTTAATAAATATACATCAAATTTGTTTCCTTATGTTTTTGATTATTATGCATGAAAACTCTAGTTAGAGAAAACAATTGTAAGTATCAAAATATGTAAAGATGTTTTTTAATTAACTGTAACGTGACCATGCTATTAACGAATTAAACAATAACAAACAGCTTGTTAAATAAAAAGAACATAAATAACAATAGCAACCATTTTGCAATTAGTGTGTAACTACGGAAGGCTACAAGTCAATTATATGGTGGCCACGCTGTGGTTATGTCGTAATTGAAACATACAACACCATCATTTATTGATAAAAGTAATAGTGACTGCGCCATACATCTCAATTTTCTCACAAGGTTAGTTAAGATTTACGTTATGTTTTTACAGATTAGAATAAAGATACCTAAACTTGCAAAAGAGTTGCTTTATTTTCTATTTATTGCGTGCAATGTATAGAATGCCATAGTAGGTAATATGTATTTACGAAGACACTACGAGGAACATCAATCTTGTACAGAGGCATAGCATCTACGTATTTGGCACACTATACCTCTATAACAAGAAAGAAATATACATGTATTGAATAGTAAAAGTCTACGTAATTACTCTCATTTTGTAATTACAATTTGCTCTTACAAAGATCTCATGTATTGGTAAAAATCCACTTTCACACCACAAAACCCTAAAATACAGTTTTGTTACTATCATGTAAAATTGTTGATGGCTAAATCTATTTAGCTTGTTAAGATATCAATAAGACTTAAACACAATGTGCAGATACAGATCTGTCATACGTATCCCTCCTATACACTGGTATTAGTAACAATACATAACGATCCTATTCTTTGAATGCAGCTCTGACATTATTTCCGGCATCTATTACGTAAGTAAATCAATCGAGTTCAAATATCGCACAGGCCATCTCATTTTCTAATCGAGTCACTTGCATAATTGGACCGATTTGCACAGTGGCCGCATCGGGCACGGGCAGGCATCGGCGAGCTCAGCCGTCGCTTGCGCAATCACAATAATCGATGCTCCGCCGATGAAACAGTGAAATCAATGCTGCGACGTCAAGTTACCGCATCGCTTGATCTATATTCACTGACATCATAGTTTAATCAGATCTCATTAACCTTTCAGGTACCATTAAGCAATCGTTGCTGAAAAATAGTTTTTTAAATAAATAAACAGACCATTAAAATAAATACAACATAGAAATTTAGTAACAGTAAATTATAATGTTGAGAAATTGATTGCTGTAGAGGTATAATGAATGACACAAATATACAAGTAAAAATGGAGTACAATAACTTTATCTGCCATACAGGGAACATCAATTTAATTACAATTTAATAGATTGAAATTTCACACATGTCTTATATCTAGGTCTATAGTGGTATAGAAAGAACATATATAGATGTATTAACCATATCTGGAGACTGGAGCATAGATATCACACCGTTTTCAAAACGGTTTATAAGGACTTATTAAGAATAGTCTTAATAATTACTAAGTTATTTATATACGCAATACTGACAGTACGAGTACACTTGCAAGAAACATGGGTAGTTAACGTCAAGGTGAAGTGGTAGTGCGGGACAAGCAGGCGCGCCGCACCCTCGGGAGCTGCGCAAGCGCTCGCGCTGTTGTTTCTTGTGATTTAATTGTACCACACAGACGGTGACTCGCAACTGGCCTGTTTCGACTCGCTGCACAATTTCTCGCCACTTGGCAGCTACAAGTGTATGCGAACCTATACTATTTGCATGTCACATTCAATCACTTCAATTTGCCTACAGGGTGATTCTTTGAAACACAGTTTTGACGTGTTTTTGACCGAAGAACACATCAAAAGAACTTTCGATTTGAATGATAGTTTCAGGTTTTATGTTAAGGGTAAATGTCTATCGAGGCCTGCTGTAGCTAATTAGGATTTATTAAAAAAAACTATAATTAAGTTTGCAGAAAACAGTAAAACCTAATTAGTTTGGCATGTCCCAACGACGGTTTTTATTACATTATTTAACCGTCTGTAAGCTGTGGTCGCGTTACACTAAAACTAATGAATTCCAGCGATATTTAAATATGTGTTTCTTAATATTTTAATATTTAAATACAAAAAAAATGCATATTTTCATAATTACATAATTTTAAAAATTGTCCCCGACTAAATTCATCATTAAGCTGGCTCGATTCGTTTAACATTATATCTACGTAAATAAAAAGTATTTGAAAGAGTAATATTTACTTGTAAGTTGATCGCGCCAGTCAGCGCCGAACGGTGACAGCGAGTACTCGTGCGTGGACATATTTTTGCAGAAAAATACGATTGCAAGTTGACTTCTGGCGTTTGTAACGTAAGTAGTATAATCAATCTGTCTTAATTAATTGATAGTGTGTATCTACTTTCGTTTTGTTGCCAAATCAAAGTGTGCTATGAGAGGTTTTGCTAACATTAATTGCATGTTTGATTCTTTACGTTTATAAACAAAGGAGCAGGATTTGATAGACTGCGAATTCCTAATTTTTCTGGCTCCCATTAGTCTGGTTTCATCTGGCTCTTAAAGCCAGATGAATTTGAGCGGACCATATGAATTAGGTTTCATTCAAATTCGGGCAGTATTAAAAGACCAGATTAATTTTAATGTGGCAGATTAATTATGTCTAATAACATTTCTTTATTGTAGTTTTTATCTTTGTTTATTTATGTTGGCTTCAAATGCACAATTTTGTGTTGAAATACCATGGAAATAATTATTTTTCTCTGGAAATAGGTCTTTATTAGTACTAGTCATATTTTAATTTCAATAAAATTACTTAAGAAATAAAAAAAGCTAATTGCCTGGTGGGGTATTATGACATTTTAAATCCAGGCAGTTTCCGTTGAGGGAACGAGACACAGCTATACAAGTTGTCTAGCGCCATCTCGTTCCCTCAGCGGAACCTGCCTGGCGTTAAGATGTCATAATACCCGACCTGTTGGTTTTTATTCCGAAGTTTGACTGCTGTGCTTGAGGTTTTGGGATCGTCGCTTGAATAGCATTATTTTTTTTCAGGTACATATTTTCAAAATGGCAAAACAAAAATTACAAACAAGAGAAGAAAGACTAAGAAAAAAAAGACTAGCGGAGAAGAGAAGATATGAAAGAATAAAGAATAATGCAGAATTATGGAAAGAAAAACAAGAAAAGAATAGACAAAACTATATACGCAGGAAAGAAGAAAAAAAACAACTACCGATAGCAGAAATGAATCCCAGACAACAAAGGTTACAGAGGAAGAGATGGAGAAAAAATTACAAGGCATATTACCAAAGAAAGAAACAAGAAAAATTAACAGCGGCAATGCTAGACGAAAACACACCACCACAAAGTCCTAGCATTTTGCCCTATAATGAAGCTTTCCATGATAATCTTCCAAGTTTAAATAATCAGGTTGTAAATAGAGAGGAGTCACCTACGCCAGGACCATCCCGGATTTTACGCAGTGCTACAATTCTTCAGAACCATGCTTATTCCCCTACTTCACGAGGAACTACACCGAATACAGAGGCTCCTTCCTGTTCTTCACCTGTGCCTTCTGTTGTAAGACGTCTCCGCTATCAAAAAGATAAAGAAATAAATAATCTTAAACGAATAATACTAGACATGAAGCGAAAAAATGAACGTTATAAGAAAAAACTGCAAAGATTAGCATTGAATTATAAAGGACCCTCAGTAGATAACAAAATCAGACCTAAAAATCAAAATACAACACTTGACCCTAAAATAAAACGCCTAGTGCGAAAGTCAAATAAGATACCAAATCATCATACAAATTCTTTGCCTGAACTACTTAGAAAAGAAGTTGAAATATTTTATGAAGACGATGAAAATAGTAGACTTTGCTCCGGAAAGAAAGAATTTATTACAAGAAACAAGATACGTAAACAAAAGCGATATCTCAATGACAGTCTTCTTAATCTGCATAAAAAGTTCCTGAAAAAGTCAAATTTAATTATTAGCTATTCAGCGTTCTGCAAGTTAAGGCCATTTTGGGTGATCATACCTGATTTTAGATCAAGAGATACCTGTTTATGCAAATTGCATGTTAACATGGATTTAGTCATCCAGGGATTGTACCAGAGGAAGATACTGGTCACCAAAACTTCCCAAGATCTTCTCTCTCTGCTATGTTGCGATGTATATAATGAAGATTGTTTACATCGAACATGTTTTGCTTGCAAGGAAAGGACAGTCCCCTATCAGGAATTTGATAATTCCATCGAAATAACATACTGGCAGTGGGAGACTAAACCATACACGATCGAAGCTACGGGAAGAAAAGTAAGATCAACTGAGAAAATTAAAAAAAGAGAGGAACCTAAGATTTGCATTGAAAAATTTGAGTCAACATTGAATGAATATTTCGTGCATTGTGGTAATGTAGTTGCTCAACAAAAGGCTTTCAAATATTTAAAAGAAAATCTTCAAGAGGGTGAGTGTATAATTCATGTTGACTTTAGCGAAAATTATGCAGTTAAGTGCAATGAAGAAATACAGTCCTATCATTTCGGTGGAAGCCGTAAACAATTAACTCTACACACTTCGGTAATATATTTTTTAGACGATGAGAAGATACAGCAAGTACAGTCTTTTTGTACCGTGAGTGAATGCCTTCGTCATGACATTTCTGCAGTGTGGGCTCACATCGTACCAGTCCTCCAATACATAGGTGAAAAAAAGAGAGACATTCATACTATACATTTCATTTCCGATTCTCCGTCTAGTCAGTATCGTAATAAAAAAATATTTCACCTAATTGCCTGTTTGCATATCTATCTAAGCTCCATTAAAATCATTACATGGAACTACAGCGAATCTGGTCATGGGAAGGGTGCCCCAGATGGGATTGGCGCTGTTATGAAAAGAACTGCGGATCGCGCTGTTTCCCAAGGGCAGGATATAAAAGATATGCAGGATTTTGTAAATGTAATGGAGCAAAACCTCAAGAAAGTAAAATTGAGAACCGTTTCTGAGTATGACGTATGTGAAAAAGACTTCCTTTTTCCACAAAATGTGAAAGCTTTTCCAGGTTGCCTGAAAATGCACCAAATAGTCTGGAATTTCGAGTCTCCTATAGTTGCCGTTCGAAAACTGAGCTGTATAGATCAAAACTGTCTGCATCAGACTGTCAATTGCAACCACAAAAAGCACCTTGGCTTTTATCATTTGGAAGACGAAATTCAACACAACAATACCGATACGGTTACACCGCTAGCTGATTCAACACGACAACTAAGAGAAATTGGTCAATCCTTTTGGACAAGCAGTAATGAACCAGATACACAAAATATTAATACGCCGAACATAGATCAAAGAATTTTAGATGAAGAACTTGAATTCAATATATCACATAAACGTCAAAGAAATCATAAAGGTGTACGTAAATCATTGGGAATAAATAATGATATTAATAAAGAATTAATGGAAGATAACGAGCAAAAAGAAGATAGGAAGGATAATGCTGCGGAAAGAACGGAAATGTCTCAGTATTCTGACTTTGATAAAATCTCAGAGATAACTTTTTCAAGAGATGGAAATAAACATTTTAGTGTCGATTTAGAAAATATCAATCCATATTTAATAGACTCCGATGATGAAGAATTTAATATTTTTTAGTAATTAGTTTTCTACGATCTCAACCTTACAGTTCCTATCGTACTGCAAAATTAAGTCTGATTTTGATTAGTAAGTTTTATTTAATTTTAATTAAGAGTTTGTATTCGGTGAAGTTTATTTTTGTTTTAAGCTAAAATTCGTTATTGTTTTGTGTTATTAAAAGGTCTTATGAAGATTAGTTTACTATTTCATGTAAGCATTAAGTATTAATTATTAAGTAAGTATTTTATTATAGCGTTGAAGCTAGTGTGATTTATCAACGACAATTAAAGGTTTAATGAATGTTTCATTTGAACGAAAGTGTTACTGTTTACATAATTATAATTATTATCTTGTGTCAGCCAAAGAGAGTACTTGTTAATTAGTCATAGGAGTTATTATTTCAATATTTGGTACAATTTTATAATAAAGTTGATTGGAAAAAATAACGGAATTATCATTAATCTGTATACCTCTAATTAATATGGTGCGAAATCACATTCATCTGCCTATGTCATCATTAATCTGGCTCATCAATTAATCAGCACCTTCTAAATTCTAATCTACATGATGCAATTCGATGCCTTCGATATATGATATTGCACATAAAGCACTGGGTCAAACTATAATATCAATTTAGATCTAAGTGCAAAAAAAATTTGAGCCAGATTAATGAGTCAAAAACCCTCTGTTTCAAAGAATCACCCTACAACCGCTTGCTCGTAAAACGCCATTAGCATTAGATAGAGTTAATTAGATCGATATCTTAAGGAGATTAATAGTCTATTTATATTTAAGCTGGTTTGCCTAGCTACAATTTAATAGGTATACCGTGTTGAAATTTAAAGTTTTTCAGAATAATCGTCGTGTTGTGTGAGTGGCGCAGCGAATCAGCGATCAATATTCGCGGTGCATTCAGCTGTAAGACGCACTAATTGAGACAGCTACAATATCCGCTCCATGTTTATGACTCCCATATAGCAAGCTATCAAATAAATTCCGAGCATGTAGGAGATACTACCTCGCGTGTAGCGATTATAAGAAGCTCATTTTGTTATCTCAGCATCATCCAGACATAATGTAACATTATAGAATGGTTCCGTAGGATCACAGTGGCCGGTAGCCTTAAGAAAACAGTACGTATAAACTAGCATGAAGGTAGTGTGTCAGAGTGTGTCGGCCGCTTCGGACAGCGGGTAGGTAGATAACTTATTAGGGTTGGTTCGCAGATTGCGTGAATGCGTTCACTTCACGGTCGCGTTGCCTTTGTTGGTGCACCGCGCTGGGTGGGCCGCTCTATCGCATGCTCCACATTGCTCGCCGCAGGTACCAGTGTACCACCGTTGCAATGCCGCACCGCTGCACCGCTGCATCGCACCACACACCACGAACATAAACACGCAGACAATACGTTTTGCGCAATTCGTTTCGCTTTCTTAACTCGGGATTATGGCAGATAATAACGATACCCCCTGTTCATTTCGGCAGTCAATCGTGCGTAGGTGTCAAAGTTAGTTGCAGTTGCTGACATAAGAAAAAGTCAATCCAGCATCATTCTCATTTAAAATACATAAAAAATCTACCGTATTAAAGGAGACTAATAGAACAATACAAAGATGGTTTTGAATCACCGTTCATTACGATTTATGAATCAGCGATAATGTTGTTTAAGCTTTGGGAGTAAGTATAAAACAATGTTAAATTATGCTATCGTAGTAACATGGCGTTTTGTCTGAGAAATAAACTAGACACAGATTATTTGAGTTGTCTTTATGGCCAACCGGTATTATGACTCAGCCGTGATTGTTTAATTCAGTGCTTCTAAACGTGTCGTGGCTCGTGGCGCATGCGCCCAGTCACTACTACTACTTTGATTCATAAGCTGGTGCAGATATTCGTTTAGTTTGTATTTATCTAGTTAATTAATATTAATAGAACTCCAAATTCGTATGATGATAAACATATTACCTTGAAAGTTAAAAGATATTGTACAACTGAGTAACGTTTCAAAATTAGTTTTAAGAAGTAAATAATAATTTCTATATTAAAAGAAAACTAAAAAAATGCATAATTGAGGTATGAGCATAGTAAGGAATAGAAAAGAGGCGACCACACGTCACCTAAACGAGAAGATAATCGCGGGGGCATGTACCTGTTGCGTTGCGCACTCCTTTCATGGAATATTGTTCTTGTTATAGAGAGCACACGACACAAAGCGGGTTTATCTGAACGCATTATGAGAAGCATCTCCGCTCCCAGATCGCGCGATAATACTCGTCGTCTTCGACTCACAAAAGTATAGAGCGGTGCGGCGAGGGCGCACGATGCATAGTGGTACGCGATGGCGGGAGGCGCGCGGTGCGGGCGGCTGCGACCGATGTAAGGTGATCTCGAGTCGAGCTGACCTTTGTGCATTACGGGCAACCGCCGTCGATCTTCTTTGTGTCGCGGCTTGCTTGTCAGCGTCCTCGCAAGAAGGAACTTTGTTGTCTTTCTCGAAAAGAAAGTAGGTAGAGATATCGATGTAAGCATTGTTCCGCCTTTGAGTTAATTCAATATAGTGCTGCTGTCTATCGAACGCCATTTTTGTTTAACATTTGAATAGGTCTCATTGTGCACGCTGTTTGGCGTTCTGAATAGAGAGCAGGTGTGTCTTAGGAGGTTTACGGTCGCTGATCTCTGACGTCTCGTAACCTGAACATTATTCATATTTTGGCTGTCTTTTCAACTCCAAGTGATTGAAAGTTCGTGAACTGATATTAGATTTAACAATACTAAAATACCGAGGTACCTGAATAGTTAATTACTTTATTATCTGACTTTGATTGTAGCAGAAACAGTAGAAACTTGTTTGCATGAATTGTACAAAAGCTAAAAAGCCATTAATATCTAATCGCTTATCTGTATTATTGCAATCGTATAAATCATGGTTGAAATAATAACGCTGCTAGAAAGCGTTTGGTAACTACCTAACTAAAGTTAAGGGAAGTTAGTACCTAAATTAGGTATTTTGAAATAATGTAACCATGACATTCTTTTGAAGATTAAAATTTTATGGTCACCCGCTTAAAATACGCGATGAGAAACTGAGATGTGTCATCGGATTTGACTATAGAGAGCGACATATTGTCAAATGCGGGACTTTGTTGTGCGTGAGATCGTCGTGGCGGTGTCGCTGCGTTTCGTGGCGAGGCATTTAAATTAAGGCTTACTAGCTTCTTTCATCCGGGAATGCGTTAAGGCTTTATGCTATTGATTCTTTCTAAAAGGAGTCATATTTGAATCTTTTCCCGAAACAATTATATCCTATCTGCTTAGTAAACGTTGTCTTGTCACGTCACTAATCTAATGTCTGCACCATAATTTACATTAAAGTAGTTCTGTAATGTTATGCTTAGTTTAATAGAAACAATTAGTGTTACAATACGTATCATTGTTCAGTATACATTCTAAATAGTTTAAATTTTAATCATAACAATAAATAACTTCAAGTTAAAATTAGGAGATTAACCAAATGATGTCCATTTAATTAAATTACGCCTTGTTATTTATACTGTAGACGAGTAATGGGGCCATTCTCCATAAGGTGCAGATGACGCCCGATGCGCAGGCCCTCAACCGGCCTTGGTTAGGTGAGCAATGACAGATGTGCCAATTTAGTCGGTGTCACCTCACACCGCCTCCCTACAACAATTAATTCTACGTCTGTGTAGGAAACGGTCAGCTGGCATATTTTTTTAAGTAAGTAATCTGGATCAGTTGGTCGAATTTTATGCGTCTGCTGACCCATATGTCTCGTAAAAGTAACGAATTTCAACACCGTCAACGCAATACTATACATATAAATTAAAAGATATTGGGTGATTATGAGCTATTGAGGACATCTATACATAATAATAAAACTGTTGAAGTATTAATTATCTATGTACATTGAAAATATAAAAAAATAAATAGTGGGGGCTGTTACTAGACAGATACCTAACTCAAAATATGATTTAAAAAAAATTCTGTCTGTCTGTATGTTCACGCATCACGCAAAACATACCGGTCCGATTACGACAAAACTTCGTATGATTATACTTTAATATCCTGGGCATAACACTGGGTACTTTTTATCCCGAAAAAGTGTACACACGAAAAAACTAAATTAATTGTGCGGCTCGAACCCTAGACACAGTTACTGTACCAAAAGCAAGTACAGTGAAACTTGGTTAAGTGGGACCTGGATAAGTGAGAAACCTCCATAACTGGAACTCATGCTAAGGTCCCAACACTTTGGCACTGAGTTACCTCTGTTAGTGGGACGAGGTAAACTCTATATCTGGGATTTGTTTTGTTCTTTCGATTTATCATCATAGTTACCTCTATAACTGAGACAGTGAGTAAATTGTATATGCATAAACCTCTGTAACTGAGATAACATTGTGTTTTTACTCATTCTTATTCTACCCACAAATTCCATACGTAATACCAAGTCCACCTCGATTAATGGAACCCTCTATAAATGAGACAGATATTTATTTATACCTGTATGTCTGAGACACAGGGTAAGTGGAATACCTCTATAAGTGAAACGGCAGGTTGCAGGTCCCTTGGTGTCTCACTTAACCAGGTTTCACTGTATAAGTTTGTCAAATGTTAGGTTGCCCGCAGTAGAATTTACGCCGTAACTGTAGGACGATGCGATGGTTGAAATTACCTGAACCACTAGTATAAATTTGAAAAATTTGTAAGCTTGTGTGTATGTTTGTTATTCAGTAACATCAAAACGGCTAAAAGGACCAGGGTGAAATTTGTAACAGAGGTAGGTTATGGTCTGAAGTAATACATAGGCTTAGTAATACTTAATTTTTATTCCTGCGAACGCGGGCGAAGCCGCTAGCAGAAGAATTATAAGAAAATGTGCAGTACTAAGACTGCAGTTAAGGATACTATGGTGTTATCACCAATATGTCAAGAGGATCAGTTACCACCACATTTTATACGACGTAATGCACCGCCCATGGACATCCTTAACAGCAGAAGAGTCAGAAAGTCGTAAGTGGGTAACCGGCCCTTTAAACTGTCAAACACCAAGCGGTCACCGGTGACCGCAACCTATTGTTCTATAATTGTGTCTACAAAACCGGTACTCGACGAGTTAAGATGGAACAATATACTCTTTTCTTGAAAGTCATATGAATTCGAAAATATCGTTGAGTTTGGGTTGTGAGGTAAGAAAGTTTCATGAAAAACGTACAGTTGTTGCCTGCGAACTATCTTTATAAACAAACATATGGTTGATCCATCAGTGCTCATGTGATTGAATTGTTGTTAGTGACTTTACATGAAGCCTTGTGTTCAATTCCTGCTTGTTACTTATATTTCTCAGATGAAAAGTTATTGATTGTAATTGTAACTTCACTGTAATTAGGTAAGTATGCATCTATTTATCATATTGGGGATGATGACCGTAATGATTTGAGGGTTATAAATGTCACATCATTGAGCCATAATAAGAACTATGCAGATTCTTGAATTCAAAGCGTTGTAGTTGTCTGTTCCGATAAAATATTTTGTATATTTTAAATAAAAACCTCGAGAAAAACTGGCTTAGCAAACAATAAGGCACAGTTATAGCCGTTAAAAGAATTACACATAGCACGACGTTACAATGCAAGTAGGTAGACGTGCACATACGTAGGTACA